TTTCTGGAATGTTCTTTGGGTGTTGCTGGAATGTTCCTGGAGATGCTGGTGGAACGTTCCTCGGAATGTTCTTGAGGTGTTCCTGGAATGTTTCTGGAACGTTCCTGGGGGTGTTCTTGAATGTTCCTGAAATGCTCTTGGGGTGTTGCTGGAACATTCCCAGGGGTGTTCCTTGGAATGTTCCTTGGGGTGTTTCTGGAATGTTCCTGGGGGTTTGGGCCCCCCCAGCCCAGATTTGGTGGGTTTGGGGTTTTTGGGAGGTGACGGCACCTCGGGGATGCTCAGGACAGGTCCTGAAACCCCCAAAAAGGGCCTTGGGTGGTCCCAAAACCACTGGATCCTGGCATGGAATGAACAAGAGCTCCTAAAAACACTCAAATTTTGTCATGGAAGAGAAAAGAGTTCCTAAAATCCCTGAAATTTTGTCATGGAAAAGAGTTCCTAAAATCCCTGGGATTTTGTCTTCTGAGTGAGACGATTCCTAAAACCATCAAAAAATGGTCTGGGGTGGAAGAGAATTCCAAAAACCACCAGAAATGGTCTTGGAAGATCAAGTGTGGTGAGGAAGTTCCTAAAAAACCCCAAGGAGATGATCTGGGAAGGGAGAGAATTCCTAGAAATGACCAAAAATGGTCTTTGAGGGTCAGCTACAGTCAGGAATTGCTAAAAACCCTGGAAATTAATGTCTTGGAAGTGGGGAAATCCCTAAAACCCCCCCACCAAATTGACCCTGGAAGTGAGAAATTCCTAAAACTCACCCAAATCAGCTCTTGGAAGTCAGAGAACTCCTAAAAAAAACCCTCTTGGAGTGGAAATGCCCAAAACCCACCAGAAATGGATCCTAAAGTCAGGAAATTGCTAAAAATCTCTGAAACCAGGTCTTGGAGAGAATTCTTAAAAAACACCAAAATCGGGTCTTGGAAAGGAGAGAATTCCTAGAAAATGTTCTTGGGTGGTGTCCATATTGAAGGAATTCCTAAAATTCACCCAAACTGTGCCTTGGAAGTGCCAGAATTCCCATGAAATGCTCCTGGGCTGTGCTGCTGGTGCTGAAATCCTAAAATTCACCCAAATTGTGCCTTGGAAACCAGAGAATTCCCATGAAATGTTCTTGGGTTGTGTTGATGTTGCTGAAATCCTAAAAAATCATCAAGTTTTGTGCCTTGGAAGTGAAAGAATTCCCATGAAATGCTCTTGGGTTGTGTTGATGTTGAAAGAATTCCTAAAATTCCTAAAGTTCGCCCAAATTGTGCCTTGGAAATGAGAGAATTCCTAAAAAAGCCCAGAATGTTCTTGGAGTGTGACTTGGCATGTTGCTGGAATCCCAAAAATCTCTGGGTTTTGTGCCTTGGAAATGAGAGAATTCCTAAGAAACGCTCCTGGGTTGTGCTGATGGTGCTGAAATTCCTAAAATTCACCAAACTGTGCCTTGGGATTGCCAAAATTCCCATGAAATGCTCTTGGGTTGTGTCCGTGTTGCTGAAATCCTAAAAACCATCAAGTTTTGTGTATTGGAAATTCCTAAATTGGAATTCCTAAAAAATTTTTCTTGGAATGTGTCCATGTTGCTGAAATTCCTAAAATTCACCCAAATTGTGCCTTGGAAATGAGAAAATTCCCATTAAATGCTCCCGGGTTGTGTTGATGAATTCCTGAATTTCCCCAAATTGTGCCTTGGAGGTGCCAAAATTCCCACAAAATGCTCCTGGGTTGTGCTGATGTTGAGAGAATTCCTAAAACCCACTGAGTTTGTGCCTTGGAAATGAGAGAGAATTCATAAAAAATGCTCCTGGGTTGTTTTGATGTTGAAATCCTAAAAACCATCAAGTTTTGTGCCTTGGAAATGAGAGAATTCTCATTAAACGCTCTTGGGATGTGGTGAAGAATTCCTAAATTCCCCCGAATTGTGCCTTGGGAGTGAAAGAATTCTCGTTAAATGTTCTTGGGATGTGTTGATGTTGAGAGAATTCCCAAAATTTGCCCAGATTGTGCCTTGGAAATGAGAGAATTCCCATGAAATGCTCTTGGGATGTGTTGATGTTGCGGAAATCCTAAAAAACACCCGGATTTGTGCCTTGGAAGTGCCAAAATTCCCGTTAAATGTTCTCGAGTTGTGTTGATGTTGAGAGAAATCCTAAAATTCACCCAAACTGTGCCTTGGAAGTGCCAAAATTCCCGTTAAATGTTCTTGGGTTGTGTTGATGAATTCCTAAAATTCACCCAAATTGTGCCTTGGAAGTGCCAAAATTCCCGTTAAATATTCTTGGAGTGTGTCCATGCTGCTGAAATCCTAAAAACCATCAAGTTATGCCAAAATTCCCGTTAAATGTTCTTGCAGTGTGTCCATGTTGCTGAAATCCTAAAAACCATCAAGTTTTGTGCCTTGGAAATGAGACAATTCCTAAAAAAATGCTCCTGGGTTGTGTTGATGTTGAGAGAATTCCTAAAACCCACTGAGTCTGTGCCTTGGAAATGAGAGAATTCCTAAGAAAACGCTCTTGGGATGTGCTGATGGTGCTGAAATCCTAAAAAACTCCAGGTTTTGTGCCTTGGAAGTGAAAGAATTCCCATTAAATGTTCTCGGGTTGTGTTGATGAATTCCTAAAATTCACCCAAACTGTGCCTTGGAAGTGCCAAAATTCCCATGAAATGTTCTCGGGTTGTGTTGATGTTGAGAGAAATCCTAAAATTCACCCAAACTGTGCCTTGGAAATGAGAGAATTCCTAAGAAATGCTCTTGGGTTGTGTCCATGTTGCTGAAATTCCTAAAACCCACCGGGTTTTGTGCCTCGGAAATGAGAGAATTCCTAAAAAACCCCAAATTGCTCGTGGGTTGTGTCCACGTTGAGAGAATTCCCAAAAACCACTGAGCTTTGTACCTCGGAAATCAGAAAATTCCCATGAAATGCTCCCGGGTTGTGTTGATGAATTCCTAAATTTGCCCAAATTGTGCCTTGGAAAGAAGAGAATTCCTAAAAAACGCTCCTGGGTTGTGCTGATGGTGTTGAAATTCCTAAAATTCACCCAAACTGTGCCTTGGGATTGCCAGAATTCCCATGAAACGCTCCTGGGTTGTGTTGATGTTGAGAGAATTCCTAAAACTCCCCCAAACTGTGCCTTGGAAATGAGAGAATTCCTAAAAAATGTTCCTGGGCTGTGTCCATGTTGCCGTGTCCCTCGCCGGGGGGTCCCGCTGGTGTTGGTGGTTTTTTTGGGGGGGATTTTTTGGGGTTCTGGTGTTTTTATTCTCCTGGATTTGAATTTTTTGGGGGTTGCTTGGGCCCCCCCTGTGTGTGGTGTGAGGGTGGGAGGAGGAGGAGGAGGAGGAGGAGTAGGAGGAGGAAGAGGCGAGGCTGAATCCAAACCCCCCCCGGCCCCCAATTTTTGGGTAGGATCTGGAACCCCCCAATTTTGGGAAAGATCCCCCACAATTTTGGGAAGGATTCCTGAAACTCCCCAATTTTGGGAAGGATCCTTGAGACCCCACTTTTCTTGGGTGGGATCCCCCAGTTTTGTGAAAGATCCCTGGGACCCCCCAGTTTTAGGGAAAACCCAGGGACCCCCCCTTTTTTGGGAAGGATCCCCAAATTTTGGGAAGGACCCCTGGGACCCCTTTTTGGGTGGAATCCCCCAATTCTGAGAAGCATTACCCAGCTCCTCCCCCTTTCCAAACCTCCCAAAATCCCAGGGATCCTCCCCAAAGCTGGGGCGGGGCCGTGGCCCCTCCCTCCCTGGTGCCCACCTGGCCCAGATGAGGCTGCCCTGCCTTACCTGTCCCGCTCAGGTTGGGGTTGGTGTAGTCCCAGGTGTCCTGGTCGTTCTTGAACACGTTCAGGCGGCTGGGCTGGGGGGGCAGGGGGTTTGGCACCTTCCCACCTTTGCCCAGGTACCCCCAGGTGTGTCCCCAGGTACCCCCAGGTGTGCCCAGCTGTCCTCAGGAGTCCCCAGGTACATTCCCACCTGTGCCCAGGTATCCCCAGGTGTGCCAAAATATCTCCAGGTGTCCCCAGATGTGTTCTCAGGTGTGTCCAAGTGCCCCCAGGTGTTTCAGGTGTGTCCCCAGGTGTGCTCAGGTATGTCCCTAGGTACATCCCCAGCTGAGCCACGCGTGCCCAAGTGTGTCCCAGGTGCCCCCAGGTATGTCCAGGTGTCCCCAGGTGTGTCCCCAGGTGTGCCCAGGTGTCTCCCAGGTGCCCCCAGGTGTGTCCCAGGTGCCCCACGTGTGCCCACCTTGGCGTACTCGATCTTGAGGGTGCAGCAGCCCGAGTAGATGTCGGCGCCGTTGAGCGAGGCCTTGGCGCGCTGCGCGCTCTGCACCGAGTCGAACGTGCCCCGGGGTCAAGGAGAACAAACCCTGGGCTTTGGGGCAACTCCCGGGGGATTTGGGAACTCCTGATGGGATTTGGGGCAATTCCCGAGGGATTTGGGAACTCCTGATGGGATTTGGGACTGGGGAATTCCTGAGGGATTTGGGATCGGGAGAATTCCTGAGGAGATTTGGGATTGGGGGAATTCCTAATGGGATTTGGACTGGGGAAATCCCCGAGGGGAGTTGAGATTGGGGAATTCCTGATAGGATTTAGGGAATTCCCGATGGGATTTGAGGGAATTCCCAACTGGATTTTGGGAATTCCTGAGGGAATCTGAGGAATTTTGGGACCTCAGGGGGGTGGGGACACGGGGACAGCTTCGCTCTGAGCCATTCAGGGGAGCTCAGATCCCTGGGATCCCCACTGCTGAGGGAACTGGGGGCACTGGGATTTCGGGGACCCCCCAAAATCCCAAATTCCAGTTGGGATATTCCACCATGGCCTGCACGCCGTTCTTGCGGAAGATGACGATGCGCTGCACCGGCCCGCAGGGGTTGCAGATGGTGTAGAGCACGTCCTGGGGGGAAAGGGGGGTCAGGGGCACCCCAAAACCCACCCGGGACCCCAAAAATACAGCCCAGGACCCCCAAAATGAAGCTAAGACACCCCAAAACCCACCGTGGTGATGGAGTAGATCAGGTTGAGGATGGCGAAGAGCAGCACATTGTTGGTGACCCCAAACCCCAATAAATCCCAATAAAAACCCAATAAACCCCAACAAAACCCCAACAGACCCCCCAAAGCCCCCTCACCGTGGTGATGGAGTAGATGGGGTTGAGGATGGCAAAGAGCAGCACATTGTTGGTGACGTCCCTAGCACACTGTCCCCATGTCCCCAGTACACTGACACTGTCCCCACCGTGTCCCCAGTGTCCCCACCTGATGGGCCCGAACTCCTGCAGCGCCTCCACCAGGTCGGCCTCCACGATGCCGTCGATGAGGCCGCGGATGTGAACCACGGGCGACGCCGGCGTCTTGTGGGGGTCCTCGTAGTTCTCCTGGGGACACCGAGGGCTTGGGGACATCCCTGTGGGGCTGGGGACATCCCTGTGGGGCTGGGGGACATCCCTGCTAGGCTGGGGACATCCCTGTGGGGCTGGGGACACCCTGTGGGGCTGGGGGACATCCCCGCTGGGCTGGGGACACCCCTGTGGGGCTGGGGACATCCCTGTGGGACTTGAGGACATCCCTGCTGGGTTTGGGGACATCCCTGTGGGGCTGGGGGACATCCCTGCCAGGCTGGGGACATCCCTGTGGGACTTGGGGACACCCCTGAGGGGCTGGGGACACCCCTGTGGGGCTGGGGGACATCCCTGTGAGGCTTGGGGACATCCCTGTGGGGCTGGGGGACATCCCTGCCAGGCTGGGGACATCCCTGTGGGACTTGGGGACACCCCTGAGGGGCTGGGGACACCCCTGTGGGGCTGGGGGACATCCCTGTGAGGCTTGGGGACATCCCTGTGGGGCTGGGGGACATCCCTGCCAGGCTGGGGACATCCCTGTGGGACTTGGGGACACCCCTGAGGGGCTGGGGACACCCCTGTGGGGCTGGGGGACATCCCTGTGGGGCTGGGGACACTGAGGACTTGGGGACACCAATGGCTTGGGGATACTCCGGCTGGGTTTGGGGACACTGAGGGCTTGGAGACACCCCTGCTGGGCTTGGGGACACTCCACAACCACGGGGACACCCCCAAACCCCACAGCTTTGGGGCCAGGCCGAGTAGAAATGGGACCCTACACCCCTTAAATTTAAACTTCCTCAGAGGAGCATTTTACAACCAAAATATTTGCCCCCACTCAGTATTTACCCCCAATATTTATCCCCTCAAAAAAGTTTTTTTATTCCCTCTCAGCATTTACCCCCAATATTTGCTCCTACTGTTTATCTCCTCATAGATTATCTTCCCTCCATTTACCCCCAATACTTGCCCCCCTCAATATTTACCCCTTCAGAAATCCTTCATCTTTTCTCAGTATTTATCCTCCAGTATTTACCCCTTCACCGCAAATTTTTTACCTCCTCTCAATATTTACTCCCTCAAGGGGAACCTTTTATCAAGCGCGACAGTATTTGCCCCTTCAGACAAAATATTTTGCCCCCCTCACTATCTACCCCCCAATATTTACCCCTCAAACGGGATCTTTTGCCCCGCTCAGCCCTTCCCGCCATGTTTGTCCCCTCAGAATCCCCCTCCCCACAACTTCCCCCCTCACGTAAATCTCTTTCCCCCCCTCAGCTCCTCTTTCCCCCTTTAACCTTTTATGAGGGTCTCCTACACTCCCTCAGCCCTTCCCGCCATTTTTGCCCCCTCAGTGGAGCTGTTTTACCCCCCTCAGCCCTTCCCGCCATTTTTGTCCCCTCACAGGAACTCTTTAACCCCCTCAGCCCTTCCCGCCATTTTTTCCCCCTCACAGGAGCTCTTTTCCCCACTTTAGCCCCTGCCGCCACATTTACCCCCCTCACAGCCTTCTTCCCCCCCTCAAGGAGCTGTTCTGCCCCGCTCCCCACACCAAACCCCTTCCCCGCTTTCCCCCGGCTCTCACCGATCCTCCCGCGCCGGCCCCGCCGCCCGCGCCCCCCGGCCCACCGGGCCCATGAGGCGGCGCCTCCGCGCTCTCGGTTTTCAGGCGTTTAGGGGCTCTCCCGCCTTCGCTGCCGCCACCGCCGCCGTAATATCGGCCAGAACCGCCGCCGCCGCCGCCCGTAGCCATCTTCCCCATGTCGGCTCCGCGCCCGCCACCCTCGGCGCCCTGAGGGCCGCGCCACCGCCGCCGCGACATGGCGCCCAGCTCCGCCGTCCCGCCCACGACACGCCCCCATTGGCCCGCCCACGCGTCAATCAAGGCGGACCGAGCATCTCATTGGCTGACGCCGTTCCCGCCACACCCGAGATGCCGCACGCATTTGTGATTTGCCCGGTCAGAGATAAATCCCCACGTCTATTGGTTAGCTGAGCTGCCCATCAGCGTTATTGTGAGAATACCATTGGCCGCCACGCGCAATGGTCTGCCCGCCCACCGCGCTGATTGGAGGAGCTGTTGCCTGTCATGGCGAGGCCCCGCCCTTCTTCTTGTCCAACCCACAGATCCCGCCTCCCTCTTCCCACAGCGCTCTTCGGCCGCGGCGCCCCCGCCATTGCCGCCACGAGACGTCGATCAACATCATCCGGCCACCATTGGCTCATCTCGAGGAGCCCCGGCCTCTGGTCTCGCCCACCAGGCATGCCGCGCACTCATTGGCTGAGCTGTACGTCAATCAACGCCCACGCCCTCAGCGCCGCGCTCTAATTGGTCGATTTGCTGGTGTTTTTGCTTGGGATTGGCCGGCGCGGGGCGTGTGGGACGCTCCCCCCTCCTCAGAGTTAGTGCAGGAGCGACTGGGAGGGCACTGGGAGTAACTGGGAGGGCACTGGGGGTAACTGGGAGCCCTGGTCCTCCCGCCCGCACGGTGGCGCACTCCCTCCTCGCCTCATCTCAACCCCTCCCCCTCGCACTCTCATTGGCCACAAGCCCCGCGGCTCCAACCAATCACCGCTCTCCTCTTATTCCCGCCATCCGCCACCCAATCATCTCAGCCCTTTCATTCACGCCGGCCACGTGAGCGCGCCTTTTTTGCTGGGGAGGCGGCGCCTCGACCAATCAGCGTGAGGGGCGGGAGCCCTCAGCCAATCAGGAATGAGGGGGCGGGGCTCCGTCGTGAGGGGCTGGCATCGCCCCCTCCCCAATTCGGGGGTCCCGGAGCCCCCTCAGGAATGAAACGGCCCCAAAATGGCCCAAAACGACCCCGAACCCTTTAAAACCGCCTCGCTCCGGCTCCAGCGCTTTATTGGAACAACATTTTGGGGTTTGTATTTTTGGGGAGGGGGCTCAGCCCCCCGGTTCTGCCCAAAAAGGGGGTGGGGGGAGAGGGGGGTCACAAAATCCCCGCACGAAAGAACCTTTAAATTGTGAAACCTCTGAAAATGAGGGGAAATGGGAGTTAAAAGGGGGATTGGGGGTGGTCTGAGGGGGTTTTGGGGTTCCCACATCAAAACCCCCAAAAATGCAATAAAATCAAAGAAAATGGGAATAAATGGGAATAAATGGGGATTTTGGGGGTCCCGAGGGCTTCAGAGAACATCAAAACCCCCAAAACCCCTTTTAAGTATTTAACCACCCCCCAAAAAACACTTCAACCCCCCAAAAACCCAATAAAACAAGAGAAATAAAGAGACTAAACGGGGTTTCGGGGAAATTTTGGAGGAAAGGCCCAAATAATCTTTAAACAGTTAAACCCCCTCAAAAAAAACCAAAAAAAACCAAAAAAAACCACTTTAAACGTTGGGAAACCCCCCAAAAAATGTGAAAAAAGGCGGGAAAATCAGGGAAAAAAGGCGGGAAATCAGGGAAAAAAGGCGGGAAATCAGGGAAAAAAGGCGGGAAAAAGGGGAATGAGGAGGAAAGGAGGGGAATTTTGGGTTTTTTCAGACGATCATCTCCAGCTGCCGGGCGTACTCGATGACCTGCGTGGCCAGCTCCGTGGAGGGGATCGGGGGGTCCTCGGCCTTCTGCTGCCGCCCCCCGAAGCTGTAGTAGTTGGAGGGGCCCAGCACCCAGCCCCGCTGGGAAACAGGGGGAAAAAACGGGGTTAAAAGGGGGGAAAAGGGGTTTGGGGTGAGTATTGGGGGGTTT